ACCTTTTTCTTGCTACGTGTGCGTGTTCTTTAGATCCTCAGATGGCTCTAGCACTTTCGTGACCACGGGCTGAGAGTCTTTGCTAGATTTTGGCATTTAGCAACTGGCATACGGTTTAATGTGAAGTCAACAACAACAACAATAATGGTCCTTTCCCGGTTTATTTAGCGGTTCNTCCATTTTATTTTGGTATACCTTTTCTAGGTACGTTAGCCTGTGACCACGGAAATTGGCCGAGTCAAGTGATGGATTAGTACGGAGAGATTGAGACAGAAGGAGGTACTGGATAGAGAGACCGGGATGGTTTTTAATGTGAAGACAACAACAACAACAAAGAGAGGATGGCGGCGATGCCCTGAATAGAGGTTGCTACACATGGATCTAGTACATGATTTCGTGACAATATGGACCGCTTTCCAAGACTGCTGTGCGTTTTCCCAAAAAATACCAGAAGCGAGTTCTGTTGTACGCCGAGCCCTTCCCAATTATAATTGTTCCAGATCATGGCAGGTCATCACTGACAACCTTGAAAGTACAAAACAGCTAGTAGGGTCGTCACAGATCTGATTTGGTTTGTGAGAGGTATGAATACCCAATAGACAACCATCGTTATTTGCGCTGCCACATCGTGCACTCCGCATGCCCAAACCTTTACCTCTGGTGATTGATCGTCATTTCTACAGAGCAAGATTTCTTTGAGGCGACCGCTGCAGAACTTGTTCGCCAAAGAGAAACCTCGCGGAGAGAAGGGTGTTTTTTGCGACCACCACCGGTCCGGTAACTATTATAGTGGTCAATCTGCACGACATCCTAGCAATCGTGGGTTCGATTCTTCTCTCTGGAGTTTTTTTTCCCGGGATTTATTTCTAGCAACCTGTGGTTGAGAACGATCTACAGCAGTAGGTCGTGAGTGTTGTTGTTGTTGTTGTCTTCACATTAAAAACCGTTCCGATCTCTCTCTACCCAGTACCTTATTATGTCCGTACTGATACAACACTCGAGGCGGTCGATTCCCGTGGTCGCAGGCTAGCTTACCCTAAAAAGGTACGTGAGTATACAAAGTGCGGCTTCACGGTCGACGAGGAAACTGGATGGCTGGACCCTTCTCGCGATAAAACTAAGGCAAGCACCGTAGGGGGAAGGTGGGGCGACACAACAAAAAATGAAAACATAAATAATTTCTGTCTGTGTGACCTTCCTCTTGTAATGTTGTTGTTGTTGTTGTTGTTGTTGTTGTTGTTGTTGTTGTCTTCACATTAAAAAACGTTCCGATCTCTCTCTACCCAGTACCTTCGTATGTCCGGACTGATCCAACACTCGACGCGGTCGATCCCCGTGGTCGCAGACTAACTTACCCTAAAAAGGTACACTCATAAAATGGCCCCGAGGGGTCCGCAAGTCAATAGATTTCAGCTTTTACAAGAGAGGACATCAACGCAGTAGTATTTTAGCAAGATTGAACGCATGTAGGATACCATGAGGATTGTCATTGGTTTAATTTCAAATCGAAGAGGAGATATTTTTACGATGTAAGTGAAAGTAGAAAGGAAGGAAAAAATGAAATAAAATGAGCGAGGACAGAAAGGGATCAGGCCGAAAATAACAAGAAATAAGACACAGAAAAAGGCACACGGGTGTGTGATCCCGGCTGATACGTCAGGTCTTTTCGCCGAGACGGCAGTAAACCGGCCCCAGAGTAGATGGGACGAACAGACACACATACAGATACTGAGATTGGCGTATTTTCATTCGTCAGCCGGTTAGCGCGGTCGATGCTAATAATAAAAACAAACACATTTACCGACTGGTCACCGGGCTTTTGTACCGAGCACCAGTACAAGTATCTATGGCACGAACGAAGTGACCGCAGACCCTTCGCGCCCAAAATGTATAGGGGTCGATTCCTGTGTATGCCTTTGGATTCGGAAGGATAACAAACAGCGCACCCGCGTCCCCTCACCTGAAGACCCATGACAATTGCAACAAAGGGGGCAATGGCATCGTCGTGTCCGAAGAAAGGCGGCTGCTCTCTCGCCTCCCGCTTGAACTTTGTGTTGGTGTGTGAGGCCGATTCGTACGCGGGCGTGGGCGGAGGAGACTAGGACTTAGTTGAAATTCCAAAGGAGCTATTCTGCAGATTGTCGAAATTCGGCAGTCCACCAGGCACCACAGAGAGACGAATGTGCCTATAAATCTACAACAAGCAGTATGCAGTTGCTGGAACCGTTTTCTCCGTGGATCCGCAGCGAGCGACGACAGCAGACACCCTTTCCCTCACTTTTGTTATTATTTTAGTCTCCCATCATTGGACTCTGTCGTCTGCCCCTCTGGCCCCTATCCTTCACTTCTACCAGCTAGACGACCCAACCAGGTCACTCACATAGGAGGGGGGGGTTGGACCCCCTCCTATGTGGCATTTCCTCACATGTAACGATGTGGTCCGGCGTGTGACGACGGAAGAGAGAGGCAGAAACATGTAATTTGTTCTTCGTATGCTACTAAAGGCGCAGCAGTATATTTCAGCGAGTTATTTCTTCGTCACCCATTGTTTCATGTACATATGCGATGACAGGGCCGCGTTTGACACGCCCACCAGGCGGCTCATATGCGTATCTAATGGATGGTTACTGTAGGCTGCCCTCTACACAACACATGGTTTCGACGTTTTCCATCTCGTGTCTGAACAAATGGCACGCGGAGTGCATCGGTAGACAATGTAGCTCTTGCGCTCTTTTCTCTCACTGACTTACCGGATTCGGCGGCAGGCAAAGAAACTTCCAGTCATAGCTTCCAAAAAATCGTTCCCCCATTGTTGCACTCCTTCTTCTGCTGGAACCGAGGAAACAGAGATTGATGTCGTGGGGAAAATGATTGTTACATGTTGGTTAATGGAACGGCCTTTTCCCGACAAGCAAGTGCGGAGCGAGAGAGAGGCAGACTTCCCGTGGCGCGGACAATCTCTACTCAAGAGCTCGAGCAACGCTCGCGCCAAGACAGGCATATTCTTTGCTCTAATACCATGTTGCGGGCAAGACATCCAAGCGGTGAGACGAGATCCTATTTTTCCCCTGCTCTGTTCGCGAAACCAATGAATGAAGATCAACAGCCCTACCCTAGCAGGTGGTAACACGCAAAGGTACGCTCGCAACTACTGTACCTTGAATTACGCGCCGTGCCGGGCGTGGGGAGGAGACGAAGGCAGAAGGGGGACAAGTGTAACCAAAGAGAAAGAGTAGACAAACAACGCCGGGCCCCTGCGAAATATTCGGAAGGGCGACATCATGACCTCACGGGACCGTGGAATTCGGATATTTTCGTAGATTCGGACTGTTCATGAGTGGATCTCCGATTATGTCACCGCATCACCGCCCGTGTCGGCAAATACGCATTCTGCTGAAGTAGCTTACAGGCAATCAAGGCAGGGCTGGGGGCAAGAAGCAACTAGAAGATGGAGGCATCAGGTCTTGCTCCGGAGGAAGTTGTGCTCAGACTCCTCGACGTTATCGAGAAGGATATTGTTCCAATCACCACGTGAGACAGCCAGAAGCCGTGTGGCAGCCAGGCCATTAGGCAGGACCAGCTGGGCAGGACTTTATCTTTGACGCTGCAACCCACGTCATCCTATATAAGGCCTCTGGCGCCTACCTACCCGAAACGGTTTAGAACTCGCGAAGCTGGTGTGGAATACCACTTGTACGTCATGCAGTAGCTGGACGTGAGTTCTCAGTGGTTGTACCAGTGCGTTCGTTGCAGAACTCATGACCTTTTCTAACCTAAAATAACCAAGCTCGGGTGCTCTTTCAGCCGAGTACCTCAACTCACCTGTTGAACACGAGGGATATTCCATGCCCCTTGTATCTGGCACACGCCCTTGCAGCAGCGACGAGCAGAGTAAAATAGTAACCCTCCTGCCTGGCTGAGGCGTATCCAGCCAGAGCGTGGCGTGTGTTGACAAGTGCGACATCTTTGTAGGTCTTAATGTAGCACACGCGTGTGGTGTTGTTGCTGTTGTCTTCACTTCATCACCCGGGTTACACAAGATAGCACCCCCCCCAACAAATACAACTCCCGGTTACATCTTTCCCAAAAGCAAAACTTTTTCCCCGGGGTGTGTTGTCTCGTGTCGTATGGGGTATCCATGCCAGCCCCTGACAATTCTCGCCCACAACGTGTGCACTGCAAGGCGCGATCCCATGTCGACACCCTCTGCAACCTTTGTTGGTATCAAACATTGTTTTTCTGAAAGAGCAACAGCAGTAGTTGCAACACACAACCTCACCCCGCATCAACCCTCCCCCCTCTCAGAGGGAGATGAACAAAATACGTGCAAGCCCACATGTTGTACGTAGTATGGTAGGCGATCTGGCTCCAGTATTCCCCATCCTACTGCACACCATTCCCACGGTACTGTCGGTACCTCCATGTCGTTCATGGGTAGAAAATCATGCAGTAAAGCAGGATAGTTGTTGAGTGTACGAATTTTGTCAGACGAGACCCAAACGTGCCAGTAGCCATGATCTCTCCTTGGCACCGTGGAGAAGTGAACGGCAGCCTGTAGCACGCTTGTCCGACAAACTGCATGTAGGCTGTGCGACATCGGGTGACAAACGAAGTAGTACCACAGGACCTTCCCCACTCGCCGGATTTACGCTTTGACGGTTGTGGTGGTACTTTTATGGTAGCATAGAGTATGTGCATGACCGCAAGTTCCACCTCGTGCCGCAAATCATGTTGTACAGGGTGGGCCTTCGGCTGGCGCGTGAAGCTATACATTATTCGCAGCACAACGTCGGATCCAACTGTTGTAGATAGCTCTTGCAAGATGCTCAAGAACGACTCTTATTAAACAGCCACCGCCGTCCCCAAACAACAACCACCTGCAGGGAAGCCGTCAAGAAGGGGAACAAAGTTTTCGGCGCTGCCATCCTCAAGCTTGCCGACCTCAGCCTAGTTGTGGCGGGAACCAACACCGAGATAGAGTGCCCTCTCTGGCATGGAGAGGTGAAAAAGCTGAAAAATCGTTGTACAAGATAGGAGGAAGGGGGACGGGGGGCACCTCAGTCTTAAGATCACGATCGGTTTCCACGCCCAGTCGTACGAAAGTAGCTATTCAGTGATGCCGACGTTTCGTGGCACCTGACCTCTCGTTGTCGGCAAAACGATGCCGTCTAACCCGTGGATCCCCTCGTCCTTCACCCGTGCCCCCACCCGTCTGGCCTCTGGGGGCGGGGCTGGTCCCTCCCATGTTCAACTTTGGTGTTGGTTTCGATGCTCAAGGGTAATATCTGCGCGGTTCTTGACACCATGAAATTGAACTTGAGAATAAAGGCACGGGTCCATGAGGAAAGTCGTGTCCCAAGGATTGCAATATCCATAGTATGGTAGTACAAACAGCAGACGGCGCACAATTTACTGTCAAGAGTGTTTTTCGGAAATGTGTACATAGCTCGTGTTTCACCCCAGCTCTAGCGCCCCTCCTTTGTGCGTTGCCTGCACGCTGCTCCGACCTCTGGTGCTGGCGCTGCTGATGCCTAAGGTTGCGTGCATCAAGAACTTTTGGAATCTACCCGAAGAAGGACGTCCCCTCCCGTCCGAGTGCCTCATGCTGGCCACCCACGAACCGTGCTCGATGTGTGTCAGCGCCATCACCTGGTCAGCCTTCAAGGTGTCGAGTGATGGGCTCTATGATGTTTGGGTATTCTACTCCGCCGCGTCGACCAACGGACCCATGAAATGGCCACCGTTGTATCCACGGTCCTCCGAGCGGAGGCAGAATTATCGTGCGTATGCGGTTGTGCTTGTGTAGGTGCTGGTTTGTGTGTGTTCCAACATGCCCTTTTGTCGAGACATCTTGCATGGTTGCCAGCCTATGTTAGGTATGTACTTCGCGTAAGCTCAACATGCCCTATTGTCGAGACATCTTGCATGGCTGCCAGCCTATGTTAGGTGTGTACTTCGCGTAAGCTCAGACGTGGGTGTCTACACCTTCGTGAGCAGTTCTTGCTCATATAGTTATGCATGGTTGTGTGCATACCGTTTGTGCGGACAGGAACGAGGGAGAGGAAGCTTACAACGCACTTCAGTACCTGCATTGTCCGGCAGTTCAAGAAAGGCTGTGCTTTCTTCAATGAAATGGTCTGCGGGCACTTAAAATGTACAGCGCGGAACAAGGAGGAGTAACCCCCCCTCCCCTTGCGTGTCTGTGCGTCTTTCCGACCAACCAGGAAATACACTTCTTGTTTTCGATGGAAGACTCGCGGGATGCTTTCAACATCCCGCACGACCTGCGAATCTACCAGGAGGTGTTCAAGTGCGAGCGAGCAACGAGGGATAACAAGTTCTGGAAGGCGTACGACCTGCCAAAGGTAGACCCTGGCACCACCTTGCCCGTGCTTCGTTGGCCAGCAGTACCTTCGTAACAGCCGTCGGACGACCGCGGAAGATCAACGATATAGTCAAAGGCAACATGAAAGTTTCTCGGGTACTTGTCTCGTGGTTGGTCTCTAATTGCACTAGTATACTAACACGGGTTTAACGCCAAACCGAAGTCTAAGGTTTCCTCTAAGGTTTCCCCTGTTCATGAGTGCTAACGATAGAAACTCCTGTTGCTGACGGCCTCCCCTGGTCCTCTGCTGGTAGCTTTCCGGCATATCCCCACGATGCACCTGTAATCATCGTGTCGGCCGAAGTTCAGTGCCACACGAAACGGAATCAAAATCGCGACGTTTCTTTATTCGTGATGCTACCCCTCCGTTGCTTGCGATCCATCAAGGTGGTTGAAACCCTGCCAGAGAGTGGAGCGTTGGGGGAAAAGGTGACCATGCTGAGGGAGACGTACGCCTCGTTGTCGGAGCTGTACCAGGACTCCAAGGGCGGGGCGAGTAGCACGCGTATCCCTCTTTCCTAGACACGCACAACACAATGAGAGCCTTTGTCATGGGGTCATTTTTCATGCAGTGCCATCCATGCATTCGGCGGGAGTGCAAGTATGTTTCTTGGCATGAAAATGTACGTTGCACAAGGTTCCCCTTCGGCACGTGGGTGCCAGTCCCCCAGGGGGTATGACGCAAGACGAAAAGGAAGGTGTGAAGTCATGGATTATATCGTAGTGTTGGTGTAGTGTCCGTGCACCGCCTCGCATGTGTTATGGGACGGTGGGGGTGGAAACGGTTGACCAACGAGGGTATCTCTGATTTTGATGTTGAAGTGCAACTGTTGTGTCTCATAGGCATTGGCAGTTGGATCTCCCATGAGATGGAGGTACAATGAGAAACTTTGGTAGATCTGATTTCATTCCAGCAATGATGGAGTTGAGGAAGGTATTTTCTCCGGAGCCTGGTATGGGATTGTGTAGGTTGGTGGAAATGTGTTGGATGGGTTGTGCGTTCCGACCAACAAGTGCACATATGTTAGGGTCGTCAGATACTCGAAGGTAGGCATGCTCCATCACCGATTTCGTTTTGTCAGTTTGCTAAGATCCTTGGCTTTCGTTGTTGGTGTTTTTGTTGCCGTTGCTACTGACGGTACCATTGCTGTTGGCCGTGGTCATCGGTAGTACCACATTGCCGCGCTGTGGCCATGTTGACTTGTGTATCACACTTGTACCTCCGTCACCCACTTTGCAAGGCCATATCCGCCTCGAACGGTGGTGAATCCAACCCGTTTGTTGTGACAAGAAGAGCGCCCGGAGCTCGACAAGCAGTAGTACGAGGAGGGGGGCTGTTAGGGTGGTAGTGCAACGTCGTAAGCGCGCTTTCCGTACGATTGATGCCCCGCCATAAGATACCAAGGATGGATTCGAAGGCCCTCCTGTCCAAAGGCGTGCACACCACCCCGTGCCAATCGAATTCGGGTCTGCCTCAATACGCGAAGCTTGTTGTGTTGGATCGAGTCGAAGGATATATTACCGAAGGTACTCCACGAGGTTTTGGTTGGTGAGGTATGGGTTCGTCGAGGAAGGTTGGTCCTAGCTTCCACACAAATGTTTTTTACCTGCACCCCTCCCTGGATGTTTCCGCGTGCGCGTGGTTGGGACGACCTCACGGAGAGTTGTCCCAAAGCTGCTTCTATTTTAACGAGTGCTCGCGGGCCCAGCTTTTACTAACTGACTGAGTTGATTGGTCCCCACGCAATGTGTTGCCCCTCGTAGGTGTTGATCGACTGATTTCGAATTTGTTGTGGCCAACGCACCTCGCCCCCATGGCAGCCTCCTCCACACACGGCATGGATGGTATGCATAAATTGGCGTTATCGCTATTATTGTGATGTCTCCCGAGAAGCAAAGGAGGGGGGAATCGGAGGCCTTCGTTTTTGCTGTCTTCTTGTGTGCCAGTGAAGACCATTGTGTTCGTTCATTCACGCAATCAACCCAGAGGATTGTAGCATTGGTCGGGTAGATTAGCATGTCGCCCGTCTTATCGGATTATTGTAGTAGTGGTCGAATCTCACTATTATTATTGGCCAGACACACACACACGCGCAGGGCATAGAGGATAGCCCCACATGTTTTCACATATACAGTACGTGGGAGTCAAATGAACGTCTAACATAGTCTACCACTTTTGATCACACCCACCGTGTGTGTGTGTTTTTTCCTCCCGAAACTTCAAGGACACTAAACTACAACCAACCGCAAGATGTGCAGTAGTCGACCGAAAAACTACAAACTGATGCTCAAATCTATATTCATTCCCCGAAATAGTCTTCTCGCCTATGCATACAACACCGTTGGTATTGAGACCCTTCTCCTTTCGCGTGTGTATTGCTGGTAATCCAACGATTTCGTGGCTCAGATGAAATGGATAGGGGTCCAGCTGGGGAATTAAACTATTTCGCGCGAAGCGCGAAAAAATTGAGATAAAGCGTGTGTACTTTTTACGCGAAAATGATTGAGCAGGTGCACTCTTTATTTAGTACCATGTGTGCTTGTGTTTTCCTGCCTTCAACGAGAAATGAGAGTGCAAAGAGCTCTCTGACATGGCCCTCGCATGGATTTCTGCGTTCCATATCTCGACGTATACTCCAGGGGGTGCCCATGCTGTACAGCAGTGTTGTACAGAAAACAGAGTATGAACTCCGTTATAGAAGTACAAAAGTTTAGTAGGTCGGCGGGCGGAAGCACAGCGTCCAGGGGCACCATAAACTTGATCATTGAGTCTGCATGTTGTCATACGTAAAGTGTGAACACCCGCCGATGCATGCAAACCCTTACTACTGAAATGATGCAGCAGGCACAGGGATCTGGCGTAGAATACGCACGCACACAACCGCACAATCTACATCGCAAGTACACACCCCGCGGAGAAAAGTCGTTCGTCATCGTTGAGCTGCTCACGGTGCAGTGCGTTGCAGCAGGCACACCATGCACCATCAGATCCGTCGCTGAACCCCCCCTCTTATCCCGGGACGACGTATATACGCCAGCGCTGGCGAGATTCTTGCACTCGCCAGTTCAACAATTTTTGGGTTGTGGTTGGAGGTAGACAAGAAACCAAAGCCACAGCGGGTTTCCAGCCCTCAGGCAGCACCAAGGCGCTAGGTCTCACTAGGCCCACCCCCTAACCCTAACCCTAACCCTAACCCTAACCCAAACCCAACACCCCAAGCTAGGTTGTTGTGCCTAGGTCGGTGTACAGAGCTACTGGAGCGTGTTTTTTTGTGCCAGTACTGGCAAATTTTCGCCGCGGGTCTTTTCCCCGCTCCCAGATCGCTAGGTGCGCCTCCGTGGAAACCCTCAGCAGAAATCGTCCCGCTTTATTCCCCCGCCGTCCGCCGTCGCACGCTCGGCATTTCCTCCAGGGCACACTCTCACACCGCATCCATCTCATTGACGACCACACCATACAAGCATAGGAACACCAACAAGCTTCACCTCAAGGCGATTATGGCTCCTAAACTCATCCTCAAGTACTTGTGAGTTCTCGTTGCGTCGATATTCTGTGGAGGGCAGAATTGCAGCTCTCTTTCCCGCGCACGATCTTCTTGTTGTAGGTCGCCGTTTAGCCCGTTACTCTTAATGCGGTCATCATCATCTCTCACACCCTCCGTTCTGTCGCCACCCCCCGGTTGAAGCGACAAGGCCGGTGCGGCGGAGCCGATCCGCTGGGCATTGGAAAAGGGAAGTCTCGAGTGGGAAGACAAGCGCTTGACCAGGGAGGAGTTCGGGGCGCTGAAGCCAAGTAGGTGTTTTTTGTACATGGCACCCCACTCGGTTGGGTGCACCCACAGAGCAGTAGCAGAGCATGATGGTAGAGTCAGTCTAGAGCTGCTTAATGCTTCTTAGTGCCGAACCCTCGCTCCTGGGCAACTTGTTTTGTCTCGGCAACTTGTGATGCCTGTGCCGCTAGTGATGCGCTCGAGTTACCCCGGCTTTGGGGACGGAGAGAGTAGGAAGCAGCATGTGTCTTCTCAGTTGGCAGTAGCGGGAGATCATTGTGTTGTGGTTTCTCGGGATGCGCTGGCTCTGTTACGGGCACGTGTAGCTTTCCAAAACACTGTGGTTCTGCTTCTGTTGTGCGATCCCTTCGTGGCACGTGCAGCAACACCGGGCGTATGTGTGTTGGATCCAATCCACACCCGCACCTGTGTGCCAATTTGATACGTCGCAAGGGGGGCTCATCGCCGGCCATATACATTCGTGTGGGAGAATGGACAATGCGTTCAAGGACTGAGACTACGACTAACTGGCTCTCCCCGCCTTTCCCCCCGGTTCCCCCCCTCCCCCCCGCGCCCTCCCCCGGTCGACGAAACATGATGATGCGAAGGCCTACCGAACGGACAGGTTCCTGTCCTCTCCATCGACGGTTTCGAGCTCGCCCAGAGCATGGCTATCCTCCGCTACGTCGGCAAGCTTGGCGGTGAGGACGCGTTGAGTCCACCCACCATGACTGCCTCCCTATTGCGAAATCCGCGACTGCAAAAAAGTAATGTAGGACTAATTTTGTTCTGAGGACAAATTCTCGTGTTTGCGGTCTCGGCGATCCACGCGTTTTTCGGGTGTAGATATTTCCGTTGCTTCGTCTCGCCGGCACGTGGACACGGTGATGCAATGGTAGGAGAGCCACGCGGAAAGAGCACGGTGATGCACGACCCTCACGCCAACTTCCGCGATTCGTACCAATCCGCGCACACATGCTGCTGTAGTCTCTCGTAGCCCACGACAGATTGTCATACCAAATTTCGTGAGTGCACCGGATTTTTGCAAATTTGTACACCAAGTCCCCATTTTGGCGCGCGACGAACCCTCACAGGTGCTCATGTTGTTGAGTTGGGTTGCGCAGGCTTGTTGCCCATCTAACTGCTGTAGTTTGCAGCCGGCCGCATGTTGGTGCCGCGCCCGGCAGGGAGGGCGCTGCTGCGTTGTGTACATCGGCAATGAAGGGATGAGTATGGAAGCGCCCCTCGTGCTTGGCGCTTGTATATGCCTACTTCGTGGGAGGTGACGAGAAACCCACATGAACCAACCAATTTTTGCGTGGGAGTTCCTTGGACGGGAAACGCGATATTGGTGATTTGCTCGGTAACGGTTTTAGCATGGTAATGGTAACCACGTGTACCAGAATTGCACAGTGGTTTTGTCGATGTACAACGCTTTGCTGTAGACACACCGGAATGAGCCAACATGTTTTTCGCCATCCGTCTAACAGTGCTTTTTTTCTGATGTTCGCCGGTCGGCCATTCGCTCTGCCACCCGCTGGTCGCTGCAACCGTAGGGCTTAACCCCAGTGACGACCTGGCCGCGGCAAAGTGCGACGCGATCATGGACTGCGTCACCGACTTACACATCAACATCCGGCCCTCGTTCATGGAGAAGGACGAGGCCAAGAAGGTAAAGCGCAAGTACAGCTAAAATCTCGTGAGCCCCTGCCAGGTCGACAAACTTTTGCTCACGAAGAGTACGCAAGCTCCGGTAGAGACACATGCTTGGGGGCGGGAGGGTTGTTTACTACCGCCTGGGCGTGCGCACGCCTCAAAAGTTCGGCGGCGAATCTCTAGCCGGTGCCCTGTACGTAAGTGCTCCCTGTGGTACTGTTTGTTTGGGGTGACGCCCAGGCAGAGACGAGACTTCCCCTTCTTGAAGACGGCGCACGCATCCTTTGACGCGCCCAAAAACGTGATCTGGCTTTGGATGCCACCGCGCTGCCGGCGGCGACCGCAGCGCTTCTCAGCGTTTGCGTGGATGGTCGTTTGCGTTACCTCACACTCTGGTCGATTACGACCTGAAATTCAAACCCTGCTCTCCTCACTTATGCTTCTATCCCGTCCATGCGTGGTGGATTGGCTGCGTAAGACATTCTGCAATCTTTGGATGCTTCCTTTCCTTCCCTTTGTCGCTGGTGTCTTGTCTAACGTGTGACCGCTGGTGACCACGAAGATGGAGATGCGTGCGGATCTGGCGGCCAACTTCATCCCTAAGTGAGATCAAAATATGTAGAATAGGTCGTGCGGGTGTGTGTTGTATAGGTTTTGCCAAGGGGAACGCAAGGTTAGTGCAGCGTGAGGTTGCGGTGTAAATATCCCTGCCTGAAGTTCGGGTTGAGGGGTGTACCCGCTCGGGTCAATGTCGGGGCTGGGTCCCCTGCCACAAGTGTTTCCTTCTTTATCGAGTGTTGGTTGCTCTTTTGCTTGCTCGTCGTTCCGTTCCTATGCAGTATGTACATACCTGCGGGTGCCTTTCAGTGATGGCGTGCCTTGGCTTCTTCGCTATTTTTTGGAGCGCGCCAAGACACTCCGCTCTACGTACGTGACTCGTGCACGCGAGTTTCGTCCGCGCCCGACGTCCCTTGCGAAGTGACGCCTTTGTCTTGTTTTTCTTGTTCTTTATTTTGCCTTTTTTCCAGGTGGCTCTCGAACATGGAGAAGCAGCTCTCCTCGACCGACGGCACCTTCTTCTTCGACAAGGTGCGTGGTTTTTGAGTCTGGTTCAGTCAAGTCTGTCCCCTCCCTTGCCCGACCTCGATGGGGTGTGCGGTAGCACTTTCCTCCCCGTGTGTTGAAGACGCGCGGTACCGCTGCCGGCGCCCTTCCCTCCCCGTCATTGTTCTCATTGCCTATCTTCCCGATGCAGCGTACATGTACCTCATACGCTATAAACTTAAGCCGACCGTTTTTCCACGAAAAAACGTTGCGTCTCACGGCTATCTTCTGTTGGGTGGCGGGTGTAGCGTCGGAGGTTTTGGAGAAAGATTGACTCAAGACGTTGTTAACGAGTGAACAGGGCAAACCTGGCCATGCACGCAGAGGGGGGATGGCCAGCATAATACACGAGACCCGGTAGATCTCTGTTGGTCCGTATCGAATGCTGAGTGCATCTAACATCTACTTCGGAGACCTTCGTCCTTGAACACGGCCCCAAGACTACTCGCAGGACCTGCGTACATGCCCCGTTGTGGCGAGGGAGGGGGACTCAATTGCGGCGCTGCTGCGTAATTTGTTTTCCGCCGCCGTTTTCGTCTGTTTCGCCCCTTGCCCTTCGCCGGCGGCAGGGTTTCCTTCCCACCGTGTCTGTGTTCCCGTTAGAAAGAAACACTTTTTGGGAGTCCACTTTTTTGTCCATTTCGTTCCTGCAACTGTGTTTTGTTGTTGCCCTTCTTGTGGGGTTAGTTGGCTTGTGACCACGGAAGGAAGGCGCCCGAATCAGTTGGACGGGCACGGATACTTTTAGAAGGTAGTATTAAGGAGAGGCCAAATATTTCCTACTGTGAAGACATCAACAGCAACAACGACACACCACATCGCTGCGTGCGTACCCGACACCTCAGATGACTGTGGCGGACATTATGATTGCCTGCCGCCTTCACCCCATGAGGAACGGTGTCCTCGACGGCATCCCGACTACCATCGCCGACTCCTACCCTTCCCTCTGCGCTATGTGCGACGCCGTCGTCTCGGAGCCCAAGGTCGCGGCATTCCTCGCCAAGCACGCTAAGTAGGACGTTCCAACATAGAGCAACGCTGATGGCGCCGTCATATCGCCGGCGTTTACCGCCCACACAGCAGCAGTAGTATTGGGAACTTCCGACCGGGGTACTACCGGGACATGGTGTCTCTTGTCTGGGACAAATCGATCGCCAGACTGTCGGCTTGTTCGACACGTAGAAGCGGCGGGTTGGTTTGCCGTGCTTCCCGCAAGATACACAAGAGTCAAGGAGCAGTGCACCACACTTTCCGTCATGAATGTTTGTGTTGTTTGTGTCTTTCGTGTCGCGCGTTTGCTGCGCGAACGTAACGTGGAAGTGGTGTTTGTGCTTTACGGTGTCATGTTTTTTTTGTACGTCGTTGGCGTGGTATTGTGGTTTGGTGGTTTCGTGCGATGTTGTTGGTGGTTTGGCTCCTTGCGAGGTGGTACGGTACTGCGTGGTCAAGCTTGAGTTAAATATATCGCTGAACCTATGTAGTTGCCCACAATTCTGTGGCTTGTATCTGCCTCGTTTGGAATGCATTTTGCAACGGTCCAAATGATCTCTCGCGCTGTGTCGGCGGATGAGGTGAATGAATGCTTATTCAGACAAGGGCTAAGTGTGTGTTTGTGGAGGTGACCGTTCACTCAAGAGGTCACATCTCCCCCAAGGTCCTTGGACAACCATTTCCCCCTTTTCACGAGGGCACAACAGGCATGGTATCGCTCCCCCGCCCAGCAACGTGTAAGTTTGTTTTGCGGACGGAAGTCACTTTCACCTGACCGCTATAGTCCACGCCAGCGCTCCCTTCCGAGACTGGGCAAGACGCATGTGCTTCACACAGATACCAAACATAAGCGGGAGGAAAACCTCTCTGGTACTCTGGTGCGGGTCTTCAGCACACTGCGGGCACAACACCGTTGACCGTAGAGCAATGGGGGATATTCGAAGAAACAGGTGATTACTTAGCGCACACTCCAAACCGGAAGAGGGTGGACAAAGGCAAACCGCTTTCGTATTACGAATGCTGCCACAAACACCTACCTAACGCTGTACCGAGTTTTGTGCACAGGAGATACAAGTTTCTTTGTGCACGGGAAAACCTCTTCCTGCAGTAGAAACAAAAGTGCAAGCACGAAACCGTTCGCTCACTGTCTCCCCCATCTGAATAAGCGCCACTTTGCTTCCGTATCTAGCCGCTCCCGTCATCCTCCACACCCCGTACTAAGTGACGAAAATAGCGGGGCAAAGTTCCAGAGGCAGGACGGGCATGACATGACCAAGGGCTCGAGAGCTCTCCGGGTCGCCGAGATCTCATGGCGAAGGGCGCTGAGTTTCTCGGTGGCCTCGAGAGTATCCTTGCGAGCTCCCCGCGCGGCTCGCAAGGCATTTCTATGCTCCTCCGCCTTGGCCACTAGCGTCGAGAGGTGGCGTAGCTTGGCCTCCCCGTCGACAACAGTTTCGTGAAGAGACTGCGGTTTTTTGTAATAAGGCAAGAAGGCGTTTATATTTTCGTTGAAGGGAGAGTAAAAAACCGATATATGTGTGTATATGCTGAATAGAACCAGGGAGAGCGAACGGGTCAGCGACTATGCCTCGCGCAAAGAACTCTCAGGGTGCTCGTAGATGCCTCTGTGAAGAACTTTCTCACCTTCTGCTCGACATGTGTCCACCCCTGGCTGATTCGGAAAACTCGATCACATCGCCCGCAAAGTCTGTTGGAAAGACGAGGGTGTAAACGGTGACGACTTTATTTGCAAGAAAGTACGCCCGTCGTCGCGGCTTGACTTTCTTTGTTGTTGGGATGGACGTGCTTCCTCGGGCACTCACCCGAACTGAAGGAACTTCGCGCGCTCCTCGTATTCCAGGCTCCCGTCCACAACAACTTCGGCTGATCTCTCCTTCGCAGAGGACGGAAGTTAGAGAGAACAGAACCGGGGTGTGTGTGTTATTTGTCGAGGAGTCGGTGCTGATGATCCATCACTACATACAGACGGCCGTCGCTGGGAGCGTCTCACACCCCAGGGCCACTTTTCTACACCCTACATTGTAACTTCTTCGCCAACGATAGGCTGGGACTGACTTTGATGTTTTACAGAACATGCGTACTAGAACGTTTTCGTAGGTGAATATACCTTTGTCATGTCGAGGACCACTTTCACCAACACCCTGCTCGTCGCCTGGCCATCGTTGCCTTCCTGTCACCACGACGCGGTGGCACTGGGTACACAGTTTTTTGCGCTTTTTTGCGAGCCAACAACATAAAACTCGATTTTTCCAGCTGATCAGGGCGGTAGCAATCTCTTCGACACGTGCTCATAATGTGGTGCCAAGAAGAGCGAGTAAAACATCTGCCTGTGTTGGGGTTGATAGTTGGCCGTGGTCACCCGTGCCGGGGGTGAAACAACACATTCATCGCTGAAAGATGTCGCCAATTGATATTTATTTCTGTTCTGAAGCGCCGAACCGTACCCCGTCTTGTACCACGCCAGTGTCGCCCTCACGTCTATGGTAGATCGCTTATCTTCATCATCAGTTTGGGTGAATGTCTATATCTCCGCAGAACGCCCCTCGGCTGAGCCCCAATGAAAGGCACTCTTCAAAAACCGTTCGGTACGGTCAACGTCTGCGTTGTTGGTGATGGCTCCGGCCGTTAGTGAGACGCACCCGCTGACACTTAGAGGCAGGCACATTCCCAAAGAATGGCAGGGTTCGAATCCTTCAACAACATCCAACCAACGCGAAAAATATGAGCATTTAGTTTTTCGCCACTGACCATGGCGCAGTACCCCTCCAAGCTTGGAGCAGCGCGCGGCGGTTGTGGGCGAACGCCGTTCACCGCGACAACCAAGACCACGCGATCGCCCGGCTGCGCCTCAAACCTCGCCTTCGCCGCGGCGGCGGCAGCTTCGAACAGGTCTTCCTTTGCTCGCCTCGAGCTGTCACCCGGCGCGTTGTTGTTTTTGTTTCCCAGCCTTCTCCCTCGAGGCCTCGGAGTCTTCGACCCCTCCGGTGAACCCGCAGGAACACCCCGCCTATTACGCCCAGGGCTCATCACGCCGTTGGCCGGAGAGATGTCTCCTCCTCCTCCTCCTGCTCGACCGCCGGCGACCTGCCGTTGCTCAGAGCGGGGTGAGAGGGGGGAGCCACGCTTCGTTGGCGTGCGAGTCCCACCGAGAGTCCTCTGGTGCGGGGATAGGGAAGCCGCTGTGGGTGACGAAGCTCCAGCCTTCGGGGATCTGCGAGACGTCGGCGATCCCGTCTGAGAAGGCGATGCCGTCGTCCTCTGTTTCGGGGCGAGATTGTGGCCCCAGCGTCTTCTCCAGAAAGCGGCGGCGGCGGTGCGGCGTATCGTGCTGAGCCCTTCGGGCACCGCACAATAGAACCCGGGAGGATGGCACGGCCGTGGACGTCCAGGAGCCAGGGCGGAATCCGGTCTCGAGAACAGGTCGAACATGTCTTCCTTGCAATGAAACAAGGGAGGGTGTATATAGACAGGGAAGGACAAGACTAAAGGAGCAACATGGTAGTCATCAAGACTTCTTTTACCAGAAGACATATGTATTCTGATGTACCCTAATGACGCACCATGGTGGAAGCACAAAACAAAGCCACATGTATACCTGTAATTTGTGTGCGTACTGCCGTGGGGCTGTTGGCGAGGTTGGCGTAAACGCTACCCCCCGGAATACGAACGGAAAGAGCGAAGAGAATATGTAAAACATAACCCAATGACATCTGGGCACCAAAATCAAGGATGAACGAAAAAACAGCTTTCCGAAAGAAGTTGAGACAGACCAGAGGGGTTGCAATGTCGAGTACTTGCAATGTGTGCACCTTGGGGTTTGCACCCGCTGGCTAACCGCCCATGCGTGCTGATGTAAGGGGACCTGCACATCGTGTTTTGAACAAATAAGTCCTCCCATTCATTTTACGGGAAGGCCTACCACTTGGACAAAATTTAGAGTTGTTTGCGCCGAAGTCGGCGCTGAGTACCTGTTCATTCACACTGGGTAAAAAGGACGAACGTGCCTGGTTTGGGGTACGGTAGGATCTGTTGGTGGCCAATGGAAGAGAAGGTAGCGCACAACCTCCAAGAAGAGGTTATCGAACGAGTTGTGGTTCTCGAACTAGTTGTGACTCTATAAAGTTAAAGCAGTGTCGCCCGTTGCTTCCAGCCAGCCTCTTGAACAAAAGGCAGTAATCAGAAATGTTTGACAGGGTACTCACTTTTCTTTTCGAAGGCTGGCTAGCACCGCACACAAGACAGCTCCAAGTCTCCGCTCGCTTTCTATGTTGCATTGATAGAAAACCGTATATCGGGTCTAAATCCTAGGAAGGTAAGGGTAGAGCAGGGGCGAGAGTAACCGGGCGCAGTGTTGCTAAGGGTCGGGGCACCCTGTCAGTCTATATGCAGCACTTTGTGTGGCAGGCTATTTACTGTAATCAAGACACTTGCAAGTGGTCGACTACTTCGTTGTATGCACATGGAGTGAGGTCTCCGAGCTGTGTTTGACTGCTGCTGTTTGTGATGTGGATGTATAGGCATGAAACATCTCCACGAAATGTTCGACGCCATGCACCATACCGGTAGAACGTACCTGCCTTACAGCGGTTGTCTCTGCGACAGCAGTGTCGGGCCGAGCTTGCTCTGTTATAGCGTCCTCAGTCAGGCCTACGGCAGTAAAAGTACGGGGCGGTGCACACTCGTTCGTGGATTCAACTCTGAACTTTCTTTTGAAGCCCTAAAAAGCTCCGAGTGTCGAGAGCACGTGCTACCTGGCGCCACGACAGCACGACTTTCGTGGCGTTTGCAGTATTAGTACTGTTTGAGCCCGAGGGCGGCGCTACGCATGTATGTGGTGTTGACGTGTCCCACTCCGGTGAAGTGATCGTCGTTTAGATCGCAGATCGCAGGATCTGGAAATGCGGCGTAACTACTGCTGTACTCAAAATGACGGAGCCCCCATCTGTCTCTCCCGCCGCCCGCGCGCCCCCACGCTGGTTGTGTGCCGCCACTGATGTCGCTGCGTCTGGTACAGAAGTACTAGCGCTTTCCTCTGTTAGCAGCAGAGACCCATGAGGGCGAGAAGCGTCATCTTGCTGATACGGGATGTCGGCAAAGGGGTTCAGTTCTACGGCGAAGGCGGCCTGGGGTTGGCACTGAAGCACAGCTCGGATACTATGGCGGAGTTCGAGACGGGAGGAACGCCGCTAGTGCTCAAGATGGCAGCGTCGGAGGCCGCTTGTTCCGTAGGGTGAGCTTCGGCTGGCAATGAGCTTGTTATTCTTTTGCTCGTGAACTTAGTGTTGTTTTATCAGCAAGGGAACTGTAATCGAGACGTACGAGACCCTCTTGGGCGACCTAATCACCCTTGGGTGTACTGAACGTCCTGTTTTAGATCATGCCGAGGTTGCATACACACCACAGCCATTTGGGTCGATTTTAAATGTTCGGTTTCTTTGCAGCAACATGAATGACGGTGCCGAGGATTGCGGCGTGGGGACTATTTCGCTGAGAGCTTTCCGGCGACGTATCGTTTGGTTGTGGTACCGTCTTCGTCCTGGAGTAATCGATCTTTGAAACTCGGCCTATGGGGGGAGTGGTATCTTCCGAAACCTACGGTACTTTGGTTCGTTGCCTGCCTGCTTGGACAGGAGGGGATGGAGGCATGCATGAACGTATGCATGATGTACGCGTTTCTTGCTGTTAAGAACAGACAGCAGTACCACATTCACTTATAGACGTTCCAAGGTCTGTATTTTCGTTCGATCGCATGACACAGGTGACACGATATGTATCACCCCCCCCCAATTGATTGGCGGTTCTGACAATGGCGGCGTTAGTGCCGTCTCGCGAGTGCTTTCCAAGATAATATCGTTTGATTCATACATGCTCTGCTGTCGTGCGGTAGTCGAGCAAGTCGGGTGAAGGGCGTGTGCTATCTAAGGT